TTTGTTGTTGCATTCAAGCAATTGACGCCGAATTGACGCAATAAATTGACGCATAAAATGCGCACGCCACTTTTACAAGCTATTTAAAAGCGAAGGAAAGCAAGGAAAAGAGGGAACGCCCCTTCCCCCACAGTGATACCGGTATTATTGGTGTTGTCACAAGACAATTAACCGGTGGGAAAATTTCCTCACCGTCACAACCTTAGTGGAGACGCTGTGTGTTTCGTTGTGAAAGCGAAAATACTTTGTTTGGCCTTCCAAAACTAGAAATCAGTGGTTAAGTTGTATTTACAACACTGTTCCAGAACAGTTCAAACCAAATATTTGTCTGCGGAGTAGCCCAGTACCTGTGTGATTCGCCATAGACATAAACAGAGAGAAGTAGCTCCGGCTACAATGTTCTTTCCGCAAGACGCACGCAGTTCTGTTTATTAACCGCTAGAGCGCCAAAAGTTACGGACTGCAGCTTTAAAATGTCATATGTTTTACTTAAATATATAAAGATTACAAAGCTGGTCCAGTCCTATATAAGCTTTGGCCTAAAGTATATGAAAACAATAGCACATTTCTGATTAACCTGAAGTCACAAACCAGCCCAACATGACAGTCCCTGGTATGGTTAAGCACTGACAAACAGTAGTAATGAGTCAAAGTCTAACTCCTTCACATCTGAAACTATTAGCAGGATAAACAAGACATTAAGACACAAAGAACAAGAAATGAATCAATTCAGGTTAACCAAATCTGGCATTATAAACAAACTGAGGAGCAGAGAAAGCAAACAAGCCTTTCTAATGCTATTAACTCGTCTTCTTTCTCTTCCCTATCAGGGGTGTACTTAAAAGATCATATAATTCAGTATTTAGAGCCTTTTAAAAACTACGACCTTATATTTACACACACAAAAAATGCAACCTGAACATAGGTGTGGTGACAAATTCTCACACAAGACCTGATACTCATTTGGAAACATCTGTCTCAAATTTGCAAGAAGTATGAGGCAACAGAATTCATACTAAAATAAATTTACTCAATATTTTCAATAAAATAAAGATTCTCATTTAACACAAAGTGACAATGACTTCTATCAATTCCAACCCTCATGAGCATTTGTAATTACAGTACTAGTTTGTGGTTTCATATAAATGTGTACCATCTGACATGCACAAAAACATACTGTAGGTAAAATGTCACCATGAAGGTCCACCCCTAACCCCACTCCTAAATCTAACTCTAATGGAGTGTAAGTTGATAATTTAAAAATGTTAAAATGAGATTGTATGCATTCATACATATTCTCAAACAGTTCAGCAAATTGTAAAATGTTTAAGATTGGCATGAGACTGTCTTAAGTCATACATCCTGTTACATGAAACTGAAAAATGAGTGTTTACTATTGTCATTTTGCATTATTGACACACTATTTTCCTAATTAATGCTGTTCAGTTGCTTTGACACAATCTGTATTGTTAAAAGCGCTATATAAATAAAGGTGACTTGACTTGACTTGACATGGTATTGTCTTAAGAGCAGGACATCCAAAGAAGAGCTCTCCCTGTGGGAGCCTTTATTCGCCTTCACTGGTGACTCGTGTTATTTGCAGCATTTGTAGTACCACTGAACACAACCCTCTTCTATTAGACAGTGGATGGTAACACACCAGTTTACACTATACATATATACAATATTAATTAACTACATGTACTTACTATATGGTTAGTTTTAGGATTAGGGTTTGGCTTAGGGTTACTTCCTTCCTTGCATGCAATTATGCATAATTAATTGTTTTTATAATAGTACGTACATGTAACGTGTAACAAGGACACCTTAAAATAAAGTGTTACCGTATAACTTATATAAAACCTGTTGTATAACAGCAAAAAAAGTAGAGCAGAATGGTCAGTTTGCTCATGTATACTGCACTTCTCCATGAATATATACACTACCATTCAAAAGTTTGGGCTTGGGAAGATTTATACTTCTGAAGAAAAATGTTATGCTCATTTATTTGCTGAAAACAGCAATATGTGAAATGTAAAAAATATATATATTTTTGTATTTAAAGCTGAATTTTCAGCATCAATACTCTTGTCTTCAGTGTTAGCCTACATGATCCTTCAGAAATCATTCTAATATGCTGACTTGGTGCTCAATGCATTTCTTATTATTATCAATGTTAAAAACAGTTGTTCTGCTTTATATTTTGAATTTTTTTTCTGTATACTTTGATGAATAGCAAGCTCAGAAGAACAACATGTATTTGAAATATAAATCTTTTGTAACATTGTTATTAATGTCCTTACTATCACGTTTGATCAATTCAATGCATTCTTGCTGAATAAAAGCATATTTCTTGAAAATAAACCTATATATCTATGCACTAGGGGGTTTCTGCTGTAGGGGTGTCGGTGGGCTCAGATGGTACGTTAAAGCAGATCTATCACGTCTGACAGAACTTCGGACCTTAAGGAAAACTGCATTCTCTTCACCTCAAATCATTACACCAACATAACAAACACCATGTGCTTGTCCCATAACATTCACACCAGCCTTTTGTCTTGCGGACCCAATCCATAGCTCATTCTGAGTGCAGCCTTTCAAACTCACATTTAGCATTCAGTGGCTGCTATTAGATAGATATACGTGTTCGTCACAATCAATAATCGCGTAACAGCTTCTAACTTTCATCAATAAGTCATTAACAAACATACTTTGCGTCAGTGCTTAACAAATCCTGAAATATCGACATACTGTATATGACATGAATCAAGTTGTATGTTCATTATTAACTGATGAGCTGCTATATGTTTGTTATTGACTTGTTCATAAAAGTATAAACACTAAAGTAGGCAACAAATACGAGATTGAGCCTTTAAACTTACGTATTTTAATGGTTTTGGGATCAAACTTGCACACGGTGAGCTGTAATCTCTCCAAACGCACTTGAATAGTTGATGTCCTTTGCATGACCAACACAGCCTGAGTCTCAATTCCCAGGAATATGTCACTGGCATTCCGCGATAGATCGGACAGTTGATGTAGGATGCTGGTGAGCGTATAGCAACACACTTCTTCCAAAGAAGAGAACAAAACAGGTTTGCGCACTCTGCGACCGTCCGGCGTCGTGAAGCTCTTCTCGGAGCCAGCGCTCCCTCTCAACCTGCTCACCAGCTCAGGCTCAACGGTTCTCTCGGGGAACGGCATTTTAAATCGTGTTTAAATTTGAGATGAGCATCGGGTTGAGGGGAGTTAAAATCCAAACGATGTATCCCAGAAGTTGCCGTGAGAAGAAGGTCTGCTTACAAAAGGTCCCGCCATAATTTTTTGAAAGATGCAGAAGCAATTTGGGACGTTTTTGCCGCTGGTGTTCGGGAGCATCGGGGAACATGAGTTTGAAAGCAGCGAGTCGAACCGAAAACGTGAAGAGAAAGTATATGGAAAACACGGAGAGGCTTCCCAACCACCTGTGGGAACTAGAACTGGATTGGCGAATCCACAGCGCTGTGAGGGAGAGGTTACCTGCCTTTAGCGTCTGCTGCGTGGAAAACCCGGGATGGATACTATGGTTCTCACGGACTTCGAGGCTCTTTATTGCATGTTCTGGGCCAGTTGCATAAACTTAGCCACCATGTTAAGACTGTGTCTTAAGAACTAGTTTGACCAACTAGCAGTTGCCAAGGGGTAATCAGTCTTACTTTTCCAATACAAATAACAACAATCTACCTTTTCATAACTTAATTAAAAAGTTATGACCTGTCTTGAAGAGAAAAAAGTAGGTGACTAACTTTTTAAGACTAGTCTAAACAGTTTATGCAACCAGTCCCAGGTATCTACAGGGCATTTTAATAATACTGAGTAATGTTTCTTTTTATTAGTATTTATATTTTAAATACCATGGTTATTTTATTCAATGTCAGAAAAAATGTTGGCAGTCTTACAAAGTACATTAAACAGATTTGATTCTAAATATTACATAAGAAAATGTTAATTTCAAGCATTTTCAAAAGAAAAAAACAAGCAAATAAAACATGTAAAAGAAAAGATCTTCTGTGTGTTTAAAGACAATAATCAGCATGTTCGGTATGACTTAAAAAATAAGTTAAAATACGTTTTAATAAAACAAAGTGCTAAAATAAACGGTAAATATCAAGATATAAACAGACAATGCATATCCTTTAACATTTACAGCACTTCAGAACTACAGTTCAATAGTACAGTAGTTTGTTAAGTATGAAGTAGTTTATTTACAGTAGTAAATTCGTTTGGAATCAGAAAACTATTCACGGTTCATTATTTGAATCTACTGGTGTAGATCCTGTTGAAATAAAAATTAAATAAAAAAATTAAATAAACAGTCAGTGTATATAACCAGTCTATTTTGCTTGTGAAAGGAAAAACAGCTGTTGTTTAGAAATGCCCGTGTTTCATATCTACACTATAGCTCCATCTTGTGGCTGCAAGTGTAGTATGCTCTTAAAAACAAACCCAAAGAGCCAGGAAGGATCAGATACGTTTTTTGTGTTCTGCTGAAGTTTTAAGGAAGTGGACTATTGTTTGTTGTGGCAATGGAACCAGCTGAGACTGCATTTTTGGATGGGAGTGATAGTGCTCATTTTCCTGTTAACATTGAGCCTGCTGAAACTTCCTTTTGCATTGAGAAATCATGACCTGTGGCTGACAGCACTATAGTGATGAGTCACAAACTGCTCCAAGCTATCACTATAATAGCCTTTGTTTGTAAATGCAGATTCATTAATGAACATAACGAAATGTACTGATTGATGAGTACTGGGGGAAAATTCTTATATATCAAGGATTTCTTTTTTTTTTAATGATGCTGACTTTTATTTGGGTGAAATGTACTGCTTATTATATGTATTTATTTCACAAAATGTGGTTTTCTTTCCTGTAGGCCTATCTGTCAATATGGGCCAACAGCATAAACAAATTCAAAATAGTGCGTCAAATAGATATAAAAATACGGCACCATCTATTGAATTGTCAGGCCAAAAATAAATTAATAAAAATTTGTGTAATAGATATGATTAAATAAATAAGATACATTTTATCTATATAAAACAGTGTGAGGTTAGGTGCTTTTAAAATTTGTGAGTGAAATGTACTTTTACATAATTAAGTGAAAGGGCACATTTGTGCTAAAACATTTTAGTAATAGGAGTTTCAGTGGAAATGTTGCTATTAAAAAAAAAGTTGCACAAACAAGTAGAGCATGTTTTACCCCATTTCTCAAGAATTAGTGAACGGGTACTGTAACCAACAGTATGTAAAACATGCACATGACTAGAAGGGTATCAGAAAAGAATCAGGAGGTACATACAGAGGAACGCAAGTTTAATCAAATATGCGCTTCAGGATACTCATCCTCGAATGCATACAGATCAGATCACACTAACGAAACCAATACAAAAACACTTCTTCATGCCTTTATGGTCAGAAAATCACTGGAGTTTCCACTTTAAATACGAAGACAATTTTCAGATCAGATACCCTATTGCTCGTTGTCTTTTCCCCAAAAGCTGTACTTTTAGTACCATGCCAAACGTCACACTTTCACTATACAAAGGCCTGAAGTCAGCATTACAAAAATTGAAAAAGAAAAATACATGGAAAAAATAACCACAGAATCTTTTGTAATCAATCGACTGTACATGTGACATTAATGTAGTCTTTGGACAGCTTTAGCAAGACGGTCTCTATGAACACTGAATCATCACAGCTCTCCAACACACTGCTTTATTCATCATGTGAACACAGTGTAACAGCATCTGCATCTGCATATATGGACGATGTTTGATCACAGTTGGATAGCAGTGACCTGCATTACACAGGCATCTCTGACATACAATCATGAACGCGACACATTTCACTCAACGATACAGCCAGTGACGAATCCAGTGGCTAGAGCAGATATTTTTGAAGAAAAGAAGTCTGCAAATCCTCAGGAACTTCACTGTAATAATCTTCAATGCACTGAACAGTCCAATAAATAACAGAAAAAGTTAATCAGCAACTCAAATGCAGCTTTTGATAGTTAGTCTCAATCAGCTATACAAACACTTCCTTATTAATATAATGACAATGAGAGATGCTTGTTATTTCTGCCATAGAGAACCAAGTATAAGAGTGACGAGTAGAAAGTTCAATCAATATGCATTAAGTTTGAAGTTCTTACATGGCTGTTTGTAACTATATGCATAAAGCAACAAAGAAATTACCTAACTGAAAGGCAAGAATATTTCAAACTCCTAGCTGTGCCACATTAAAAGTCAATACTGATAAATCTCGCATTGACGACATATGCAAAACAAACCGAAAATACAAAAAACGAACACGGACAATAAATCTGGGGCTCTGTGGAAGCAGAGAAGCGAACGTAGGAGAGATGGGATAAACGTTATAGGACTTAGAGACACAAACATGACCCTACTCTACCGCAGAGATTAATAAATATTAAACGTTTTAGACACAATCCATCCGGTTTAGAAAATGCTGCAAAATCTCTTCTCATAAAGGCCTCCAGATCCACCTTTGCATTGTTAGAAAAGTCCTTTCCATTCGTTTTATCTCACACTCGCCGATGCTCTTCAGTTCTGTGTGCTGATAGGAGGAAAAGATGAGTACAAATGCACTCCATTGGCTGATTTACTCAGTGATGACCTAAATAAGGAAGTACTCCAGTGTCCTTAGTGTTTGCTCCGTTGTTTATCTAAACATGTCGTTTGTAGGCCGTTTTAATTAGGACACACTAATTTATCCTGCACCTCTTTGGATGACATTAGAAGATGGAGGCTGAAGTTAGAACATCAAGCACAAAATCATAGAGTACATCTTTTAGAGTGCAAAACAGAGGTGCCAAGCACATGGCCCATTCCTCCTGGACTCAAACAGCATGACAGACACACTCATAAAGTTTGCATACACATCGAAACTCATTCATGTTAAATTTCTTTGTCCCTTCCCCAGTAGTGGACATCCCATAAATTTCCTTATTTTTGATCTCTCTCTCTTTCCATCTATCTCTTAACATACACACACACACATTCCTGTCCCACAGTCTTGACTCCAGGCTTATCTGGTGTAATATACTCTGTAGTAGACGGTTTTAGACCTCCAGAGCGAGTAGGAGTTGTCAAACTTGAGCAAGTATATACCACGGCCAGGATATTGGTGACTCCCAGCATACACCTCCTCATGACAGTCCCGCCGGTACACCGGCACTATCTCATCCACCTGTGGTTTCCCAACCTCTTTCCTGGCTTTCTCCTCCTCAGACCGGCCTTCACCTGAGAGAAAGAGAACAGGACTTAAATCTACAAATCATATTTACAGAAAACGTAACAGAAACTTCATTCAAACAATCTACCTAAACTTTAAATCAATTTAATTTTATATCAAAAGTAGCCTTATGATTTCCACAATTTAAAAATTAATTGATATTAAAATTCTGGCTGTTACCAATAAGCCAGTAATTATTTTCATTTTACGGCCAATATCCAATGAATGGCCGATATTAAAATTCTAAACTATTTTGTCAAAATATATAAAAAATTACAATTTACACTACAAATGAAATTCCTAAGTTATTTTACATTTGAATTCTCTGATGTCTTCGAATCTTCAGGTCAATAGCTGACTCGTATTATATAATTGTAATAAGACGAGTATATATTATACAACTGCAACTAAAATTTTTTTTTTTTTCATATTTCAGTATATTAATTATTTTACTCTACACCAGTAAAACTACAATATTTATGGCTTAATTTCACTTGCAAGAGTTAAACCCTTGTAGTGCTGTCAAACGATTAATTGCGATTAATCGCCTACAAAAAAGTTGTTGTTTTCATAATTTGTTTATACTGTCTATATTTATTATGTATATATAAATAAACACATACACAGTATATACTTTGAAAATATTTACATGTATTTACATGTCTATATTTATATTCATATAATTTATATTATAAATAAATATATTTAATA